GCAGGAACTCAGACTTCATCAAAGAAATTGGAAATACAGACACTGTCATCCTACAAGAAACATGGTATAAAGGAGACGGACCCACTGGTTGCCCTCTAGGTTACAGAGAGCTGGTAGTCCCATCCACCAAAATACCAGGTGTGAAACAAGGAAGAGACTCTGGGTGTATGCTAATTTGGTATAGAGCAGACCTAACCCACTCTATTAAATTAGTCAAAACAGGAACATTTGACATCTGGCTAGAAATTAATAAGGAAATTATCTCAACAGAGGAAAATGTCCTTGTGTGCTACCTACAGTGGGGAAAAAAAGTATTTAGTCACCCACCAATTGTGCAAGTTCTCCCACTTAAAAAGATGAGAGAGGCCTGTAATTTTCATCATAGGTACACGTCAACTATGACAGACAAAATGAGAAAAATAAATCCAGAAAATCACATTGTAGGATTTTTAATGAATTTATTTGCAAATGATGGTGGAAAATAAGTATTTGGTCAATAACAAAAGTTTCTCAATACTTTGTTATATACCCTTTGTTGGCAATGACACAGGTCAAACGTTTTCTGTAAGTCTTCACAAGGTTTTCACACACTGTTGCTGGTATTTTGGCCCATTCCTCCATGCAGATCTCCTCTAGAGCAGTGATGTTTTGGGGCTGTCGCTGGGCAACACAGACTTTCAACTCCCTCCAAATATTTTCTATGGGGTTGAGATCTGGAGACTGGCTAGGCCACTCCAGGACCTTGAAATGCTTCTTACGAAGCCACTCCTTCGTTGCCCGGGCGGTGTGTTTGGGATCATTGTCATGCTGAAAGACCCAGCCACGTTTCATCTTCAATGCCCTTGCTGATGGAAGGAGGTTTTCACTCAAAATCTCACGATACATGGCCCCATTCATTCTTTCCTTTACACGGATCAGTCGTCCTGGTCCCTTTGCAGAAAAACTTTGTCCTCCAAACACGACGAGTTGAGTTTTTACCAAAAAGTTCTATTTTGGTTTCATCTGACCATATGAAATTCTCCCAATCCTCTTCTGGATCATCCAAATGCACTCTAGCAAACTTCAGACGGGCCTGGACATGTACTGGCTTAAGCAGGGGGACACGTCTGGCACTGCAGGATTTGAGTCCCTGGGGTCCGCTCACCAACCAAAAATTCACAACACCAAATTGAGACTGCATGCAGAATTCTGCTAAAATATCCTCTGTGTACAACACCAAATAATGCATGCAGAGCAGAATTAGGCCGATACCCGCTAATTATCAAAATCCAGAAAAGAGCCGATAAATTCTACAACCACCTAAAAGGAACTGATTCCCAAACCTTCCATAACAAAGCCATCACCTACAGAGAAATTAACCTGGAGAAGAGCCCCCTAAGCAAAATGGTCCTGGGGCTCTGTTCACAAACACAAACAGACCCCACATAGCCCCAGGACAGCAACACAATTAGACCCAACCAAATCATGAGAAAACAAAAAGATAATTACTTGACACATTGGAAAGAATTTACAAGAAAAAATAGCAAATTAGAATGCTATTGGGCCCTAAACAGAAAGTACGCAGTGGCTGAATACTTGACCACTGTGACTGACCCAAAATTAAGAAAATCTTTGACTATGTACAGACTCAGTGAACATAGCCTTGCTATGAAAGGCAGCCGAAGGCAGACTTGGCTCTCAAGAGAAGACAGGCTATGTGCACACTGCCCACAAAATGAGGTGGAAACTGAGCTGCACTTCCTAACTTCTTGCCAAATGTATGACCATATTAGAGACATATATTTCCCTCAGATTACACAGACCCACAAAGAATTCGAAAAAAAATCCAATTTGGATAAACTCCCATATCTATTGGGTGAAATACCACAGTGTGCAATCACAGCAGCAAGATTTGTGACCTGTTGCCACAAGAAAAGGGCAACCAGTGAAGAACAAACACCATTGTAAATACAACCTACATTTATGTTGATTTATTTTCCCTTTTGTACTTTAACTATTTGCACATCATTACAAGACTGTATATAGACATACAGTTGAAGTCGGAAGTTTACATACACCTTAGCCAAATACATTTAAACTCAGTTTTTCATAACTCCTGACATTTAATCCTAGTAAAAATTCCCTGTCTTAGGTCAGTTAGGATCACCACTTTATTTTAAGAATGTGAAATGTCAGAATAATAGTCGAGAGAAGGATTTATTTCAGCTTTTATTTATTTCATCACATTCCCAGTGAGTCAGAAGTTTACATACACTCAATTAGTATTTGGTAGCATTGCCTTTCAATTGTTTAACTTGGGTCAAACGTTTCGGGTAGCCTTCCACAAGCTTCCCACAATAAGTTGGGTGAATTTTGTCCCAATCCTCCTGACAGAGCTGGTGTAACTGAGTCAGGTTTGTAGGCCTCCATGATAGCACATGCTTTTTCAGTTCTGCCCACAAATTTTCTATAGGATTGAGGTCAGGGCTTTGTGATGGCCACTCCAATACCTTGACTTTGTTGTCCTTAAGCCATTTTGCCACAACTTTGGAAGTATGCTTGGGGTCATTGTCCATTTGGAAGACCCATTTGCGACTAAGCTTTAACTTCCTGACTGATGTCTTGAGATGTTGCTTCAATATATCCACATAATTTTCCTTCCTCATGATGCCATCTATTTTGTGAAGTGCACCAGTCCCTCCTGCAGCAAAGCACCCCCACAGCATGATGCTGCCACCCCCGTGCTTCACGGTTGGGATGGTGTTCTTCGGCTTGCAACCCTCCCTTTTTTCCTCCAAACATAACTATGGTCATTAATGCCAAACAGTTCTATTTTTGTTTCATCAGACCAGAGGACGTTTCTCCAAAAAGTACGATCTTTATCCCCATGTGCAGTGGCAAACCGTAGTTTGGCTTTTTTATGGCGGTTTTGGAGCAGTGGCTTCTTCCTTGCTGAGCGGCCTTTCAGGTTATATCGATATAGGACTCATTTTACTGTGGATATAGATACTTTTGTACCTGTTTCCTCCAGCATCTTCACAAGGTCCTTTGCTGTTGTTCTGGGATTGATTTGCACTTTTCGCACCAAAGTACGTTCATCTCTAGGAGACAGAACGCGTCTCCTTCCTGAGTGGTATGGCGGCTGCGTGGTCCCATGGTGTTTATACTTGCGTACTATTGTTTGTACAGATGAACGTGGTGCCTTCAGGCGTTTGGAAATTGCTCCCAAGGATGAACCAGACTTGTGGTCTACAATGTTTTTTCTGAGGTCTTGGCTGATTTCTTTTGATTTTCCCATAATGTCAAGCAAAGAGGCACTGAGTTTGAAGGTAGGCCTTGAAATACATCCACAGGTAAACCTCCAATTGACTCAAATAATGTCAATTAGCCTATCAGAAGCTTCTAAAGCCATGACATCATTTTCTGGAATTTTCCAAGCTGTTTAAATGCATAGTCAACTTAGTATATGTAAACTTCTGACCCACTGGAAATGTGGTACAGTGAATTATAAGTGAAATAATCTGTCTGTAAACAATTGTTGGAAATATTACTTGTGTCATGCACAAAGTAGATGTCCTAACCGACTTGCCAAAACTATAGTTTGTTAACAAGAAATTTGTGGAGTGGTTGAAAAACAAGTTTTAATGACTCCAACCTAAGTGTATGTAAACTTCCGACTTCAACTGTAATATGACACTTGAAATGTCTTTATTCTTTTGGAACTTTTGTGAGTGTAATGTTTACTGTACATTTTTTCTTTATTTCACTTTTGTTTATTATCTATTTCACTTGCTTTGGCAATGTAGACATATGTTTCCCATGCCAATAAAGTCCCTTAAATTGAAATGAACCTGATGTTTCACCGGATGTATAAATCTGAAGCATTGGCAGGCAATTCCTCCTACCACCAAATATGGTGATGGGAGGAAGCCCAGTTGCAGAAGATGAAGCAAGATGGCTTTTTGCCGACATTCTGCTAATTTTCTAATCAATGAAACATTTTATCTCAATAACGTTTTCTGTTCCCATTACTATAATCTGTTAAGAACAGAGTGGACTAAGTTTAGTAGACTTTACCCTTTACCAAAGTTTCTAAAAATTTTGTTGTTTAGGAGTGCAAGGGCGAATTGAGTTATTGCACACGCGCACTTCAGAAGGCGTTCACTAACGGAAATATACAAATACATGCTAGAACGTCCCAATAGGATCTCGCTAGTTCATGCTTGGCTCTGCCCACCTCCTTGCTTGTTCTGCCCACTATGATACATTTTCTCCCATTGGAAATGACAGGCTGTGGGCTATCTTTGGTTAATTATAAATATCTTGGGTAATAGAGAGCAGCTTCGCAAGGTATCTATACCTGAAAATACATGATTTAAGTGATTGATAGTTGGTATTCAGCAGTCATAAAAGTATGCCTTATTTACTTTGAAGAAATACAAAAGTGATTTTGTCAGGATAGGCAGCAGTGCTATAGAGATAACTTGGAATGAAAAAGTCTAAACAAACGTAATACACACAACTGAAATATTTTAGTAAAGTGAATAAATGGTTAATTAAGCAATAAGGCCTGGGGGGGGGGGGGGGTGGTATATGGCCAATATACCAAGTCTAAGAGCTGTTTTTAGGCGCAACGCAGAGTGCCTGGATACAGCCCTTAGCCGTGGTATATTGGCCATATACCACAAACCCCTGAGGTGCCTTATTGCTATTATAAACTGGTTACCAATGTAATTAGAGCAGTACAAATAAATGTTTTGTCATACCCGTTGTATACGGTCTGATATACCACGGCTGTCAGCCAATCAGGGCTCGAACCACCCAGTTTATAATAAGTGATTAGCAGTAATGGGCAGTCACTACAATCAAGGGACTTTTGTTTTATTCTGTGTTACAGCATTCAACCTACATAACGCATAGTGCATTTAATGTTGGAAAAAAATTATTGAAACCAAAAACTGTGATAATTTTTAAATAATCAAACCAAAAACAACCTCAAAAAGCACTAATCGCTCAGAACTAGAAAACAGAAAAGGTGTAATAAAAATACATCTGAATTTAAAACAAATCCAAGAAGTAATGGTCTAGTTTTTCAAAAGTATCTGTAATCGGATTACAATATTTTAGCTGGTAACTGATTATGGTTAGTTTTTTTGTAAGTCAGATTACATGTAACTGATTACATGAAATCAGTTACTCCCCAACCCTGTGTAGTAGTGCCATGGTATTCAGCATAGTATTCACAATTCAGCATAAGCATAGTACATGTAGCATTGTGTTCAGCATACACACTTATAATTAGCAATGAGAATGACATACAAATAAATTATCAAACATATATTTTACACCAAGTGTTTTATTCTGTGAGCATCTTCTCAGGTCACATGACTTACAGTAGCTCGACCCCTCTGAAACCCCCACTGGGGAACGACTATCTTACAGGCCACAGGGTCATAGGATGGATGACATAACAGGGGAGAGAACATGGTTGAGACAAGGGGGGCAACTGTGACACAGAGCCAACATTTGTGTGGAGGCTGAGGACAAATATAAAGGTCTAGATAGTTACAACACACGTTTTACGCTAGAAGGGTTGTAATACTCCCAGGGCTGGCTGGCTGCCTATACAAGAGTGACGCAAACACACATGTACGCACACGCAGGCGCTCTTTAACACAAGATTACACATTCCCAAATTCCTGTATGGTGAAAATGGCTGTAGCTGCAGCTGACTGGTCTCTGGCCCTTGTCTCTTAGAGAAACACAGCAGGAAGGAACAGTGATACATAAGTGCATATGAGGGAGTGAGGTTGGCTTCAGCTACGAACACCTCCAATTCCTTAGTGATGTGGATGTGGGGCAGGAGTGAGGGAGAGAGAGCTCATTGCCGTTTGTGCCAGCCGTCTGTACAGTAGTAAACTAGAGAGCAGGTGATTTGACGTCTGGGTCACTGGATGGTGGTAGAGGAGGCGCTAATGCAGGGTGGAACACTTAGGGAGAGCTTTCCCTTGGGGGCTGGGGGTCCAAACGCTGGCGGGTGAGTTTGTCTTCACTTCCCCCTCGCCTCGGTGATGGGGCTTAGGCGCTGCTGAGGGCATCCACACCGGGCAACACTTTACCTGTGGGCAGAAAGGAACGACATGCAATATGGTCACTGCTTTGGAAAAAAACTATTCAGCATTAGTTCTTAAGTCATCATATCCATGTATGCTGTAACTATTGGTAGCAGTACCAACATGTAATTGTTCTTTCTAGCCTGCATCCCCTTAGACACTACATCATGCCACCTTGCAGAACTGAAACAGATTTTGAACTGGACATAGGTCAAAAGGTCAGGATGATACCGGTCAGGATTAGACTGTGATCCCTCACCCTCCAGAAGCTCCAGGCTGGCTCCGCCTCCTGTGCTGACGTGGCTGACCTTGTCTTCTGTGCCCCATTTGGCGCAGCAGGTAGCGGTATCGCCTCCACCTGGGCATCACCAAGACAACAGGTGGGTAACATTAGAATCATAGAGATCCTTCACTGTGATCATTCACTACTATAGATGTGAGGAAGAAAAGGTGTTTGGCGCCATCTGGTGGTGAAAATGATATCAAGAGTGGATGAACCAAAGCTTCCAATCAAAATGGCAGTGCAAGTATAAACTTCATTAAATTCCTTAACATAATACGCAGCAGCAGGCTTTGTTCAATGAATGATCTCAATCATATGTGTATTTATTTGAAAAGGTTGGGCTTAGGTGCAGGGTGAAAGACATGTTTTTTGGTCATTGTATATAAACACAGTGGTCGAGGGTTTTACCGATGATTGTGACGCAGCCTGACTTGGTGACCTCCACCACTTTGTCCATCAGGCTCTTGGTTCCTTTGGCGAAGTTCTCAAACTCAAACACACCCACGGGGCCGTTCCACACGATCTGCTTGGCTCTGCCTACAGCCTCAGCGAAGCACTTGTTGCTCTCTGGTCCACAGTCCAGACCCTGGGGAGAACAGAGGGAGACACAGAGCTCAACCACAGTTTTGTGTGTTGTTATTTATTTCACTCTCAGTGATACAGTATATCACATTTCTAGCTAGCACAAGAACTATCAGAAAGATTCCCATAAAAACCCCTCAAGAAGACTAAAAAACCCAATCAGCGTTATGTTTATTAGGCATCAAACGGAGGGGAAAAAAACAAATCAGGGAGGGACTACCCTGGATTTGTCCAATAAGAAACGCTTATTTTTGTTTTCTGTTACAACTGTTTTTAAACATTTTATGTTGCGTGCCCTAATGAACATGACCCAGGTTGCTCTCCTCACCATCCAGCCTGCGGGGATGCCAGCAGCCACAGTTGCGGTGCCAGTCTGGGCATGCTCGTCAAACTTCTCGGCAGTGATGAAGTCGATGGGGAGGTTGATCTTGACCTTGTTCTTCTCAGCCTTGGCCATCAGCTCCTTGACTATCTTGGCACCCTCATCATCGTACAGGGAGGTGCCGATCTGCCAGGGAGGAAAGGATCACTCATTGTAAGATGTCAACTATAACCGCGATATACACCATAGTCTAACATTAAACAAATGTAACTAGATTGTGCAGAGGCACAAGTGAGTTCTGAGTTATATGCAATCAAATATTGAGGTTAAAATTATGATTTAAATACAATTTGCCAAAAAAGGGGTATCATCTCTCCCACCCTCCCTACTGCCTTCTCCCCTCCAACGTCTCCCTCAAACAGAAAGTATAATCTTCCTCCCTCTCTCTGTCCTCACCTCCATGTTGTTGAGGACCTTGAGGAAGGTGAAGGCCATGCCACCACCAATGATCATCTCATTGACCTGGTCCAACATGTTGTTGATCAGCTGAATCTTGTCTTTGACCTTGGCTCTGCACACAACAACCGACAGAGAAAAACTCTATGAAAACATATGAAAACTGTTAAACATAGTAAAACATTGATAACCCATTGATAGCCCAATGATATGAAGCCCATATCTATAATCCATTATAAAACTCAGGATGAGTTATAATGCAGTCATAATTCAGTGTACGTGTAGTTATAAACATACATGGTAAAACATATGGAAAGGTTTCTAGTTGAGGAAGATGGTCATATTGGGACAGACCATTTTTTTGCTGTACAGTGTTTGTTATAGTTGACACTTTTGTTTCTTTTGTCAAATTTAGCGCTAAATCCTACTGTCTTTCATCCATTGTTGAGGGGTGTATCATTAGCCAATTCATATCAATGTACTTTGTCACTGGCAGGGGTCCAAAAAGCTGAACTGGGTAATTTTTTTTTGAAAATACACAACTGTGGCAGTGACAGAACCCGATTGGCTGCACTCAGAGACACTGATTGGATATGGCGGTTGCACAATGCCCAGCTGAAATGGGCTCCGACATGTGGCCAATTTCGATATGTGAGCAACGGTAGTTAGCTGTGTGTTCATGCATGTTCTTTATTTTTCCCCACTGTGCTAGGCTGTAAAGTGCTCAGTCACAGGAGGTTGGTGGCACCTTAATTGGGGAGGACGGGCTCATGGTAATGGCTGGAGCGGAATGAGTAGAATAGTATCAAGTACATCAAACACACAGTTTGACGTCATTCCATTCGCTCCATTCCAGCCATTATTATGAGCCGTCCTCCCTCAGCAGCCTCCGCTGTGCTCAGTAGTAGGAAAAAAAACGCACTGTCACACAGATTGAGGTATTACATAACACGCTTAAGGTCTCTATTCATGGACTGCCTTCTGTGTATTTAAAAGAGACCTGCACTTGAGAATGATACTACAACAGCCCAAGGCTGATGTATCAACAGAGAACGAGAGATTGAGTGAGTGAATGAGTGGCAGAGAGAATAGAAAAAGATTGAAAGAGAGCGACAGAGTGAGATAAATATTAAGTAATGCTGCATGGCTTTCATTGTGCCTATAATAAGACCAGATGAAGTCTATTTTAACCGGGTCAACCAGTTGAAGAGCCAGTCCCCAGTAGAGTGATACCATAGAAGCAGATACAGTCCTCTGGGTACTTAATTCTTAACTCATCACAGATCAGCTATCCCTGCCCGTCCATAATCAGTGACATGTTAAACTAAAGCAGTTAAACTTGACCAGTTACTTACCCTCCGAGGATGGCCAGGAAAGGCCTGGCTGGTTTCTCCAGAGCCATGGCAAAGTAGTCAAGCTCTTTCTTCATCAGAAAGCCTGCGGCCTTCTGGGACAGGTTCACTCCAACCATGGAGCTGGGGGAGGGAAGGAAGTCACTATTTCACTTTCTTTTTTTTTCTTTTTTTTTATCTCTGCATTTTTGGAAAAGGACCCGTAAGGAAGTATTTCACTGTTAGTCTACACCTGTGGTTGATGAAGCATGTGACAAATACAATTTGATTTGAAAAGGAGAGTAAGAGAAAGAGACAGGGAGATGACAGGAAGGGACAAAGTATTTTTTAAATGAAAGTATAGGAGAAAGGGAGTGGCAATGAGTGATGGCTTCTATTTCTCATTAAAACAGCTAACTGATACCAAAATATCAGAGTTTATGCTTAACTCCTTCACAGAAATATGTGGTGACCCCTACCTGTGGGCTCTGTGTGCTGTGCCGAAAGCATCGTTCACGTAGACGTCTCCCAGTTTGGACAGAGAGGCTCTGAAGGAATCAATCTGCTCCTGGGTGGCTTTAGTCTAGAAGAGAAAGAATATACTCTTGTTCATGCTGCAGAGGGATCAGGTTACTACTAGCAGGAACTGTTTACACACCTAGCACACAGAGCTGTATGGTCTATTGTGCAGCAAACTGAGGCCTAATTTATTCATATTGATGACGTCGATGAATACTAGTCATCCTTCATGGGAAGATATTAGCCATTTTCCACATTCAACAATATGGCCCATATCATCTATCTATGTTGAGCAACTGTATTAAGGGTTTATTATACATGTGTCAGAACACTTGGTGTGGCACCAAGGAGGGTAGTGATGAGACAATTCAGAGGCTCAACACACAAGGCACGATTCAAAACCAGGCAAAAGCTGGTGTATTTCTTAAATCAAAAAGGTGAGTTACAGAAATGGTCCAAACGTGGTCCAATCATTTGAGCGGCCATCTTTGTTGTGGCGAATTGGGTGCTGGCAGCTGCAACCTTAGTGTTTGGGAGGTGAGACTCGCTTCCATGGTTGTTAGTCATACATCCTTCTTCCTCTGGTTCTGAATGTTTCTCATAAATCGTCCCCATATGAAATGGATTCACTCACCGAGTTTGTGGGTTCCTGGTAGTTCAGTGCATAGCACTCATCATCCATCTCCCGCTCAGCATCCCACCACCACTCTTCTTCTTGAGTGCACTGGGCCTTCTGCAGTGCACTGGGGTCACACTCACAGGCATCATGGTTAACATCAACATGTGATGGGCAGGTCTGAGATTCTTCATTCTTGTGAGATTTACCAAGACCGTCAGTCTGATTAATCACAGAGATCAAATATGCTTGGGTGTCCGTCTGGCTGTGACCATCTATTAATGTGCTGGTTTGGCAGCTTACATCTTGAGGAACAGTATAAGACTCACCAGTCTGGGTTTGTTCATCTTGACTCTTGGGTACCTGTACCAGTTCTCCCACCTTGGCTTGTAGCTCACCATTCTCCCACTTCAGGTTCTCAATGCACGCTCTCTGGACTGTGCATTCTTCATTGAGGTCTTCAATCTCTTCTCGAATACACTTTTTCTCCTCTTCAGTTTTGCTGAGGAGATCTTGAAAAATCTTTAGCCTCCTCTTCAACTCTTCAGCTTCATCATGTGGAGCACATTTTCTTCTAGTTACCCATTTCAAAGTTTGCAGCTCCTGCAAAGTTCCGCTCCAATACTTCTCCAGCTTGGCGGCTCGCTGTTGCTCTTTCTGGAGAGCGACTTCTTGTTTCAGCAGGCTTTCTTCAGCCTTCTTCCTTTTCTCAGCTTCGGCAGTTAGCTGAGCCTTTAGCTCATGTTCCCCATTATCTGGCTTGCTGACAGAACCTTGGCCTTCTTGCCCAAACCCAGCCCCTTCTTCCCCAGGGGACTGGATGAGTAAGTGTCCATTCTCCATGCTGACGATACACTGTAGAGTACCACTCCTGGCCAATGCATCCGGTTCTGTTTGCCAGGCCTTGTGGTGCACATCTAGTGCCACATCCATCATGTTATTTAGAGCTTTCCATAGCTCCTTTGACCCTTTATTCATCTCACATCTTTGGACACCTGGTGGTTTCTTCAGGATGTTTAGGAGGAGCTCCCTTTGATCTTCTGGCAGTACTTCTTTGCCTTCCCCCTGCAGCCATGGAACAGTGAGGGGATCCATCATCCATCCATGAATGTCTACGTCATTTTGGTGCAAATGTGTGAGCGCTCTGAATTCTCCTATGCACTACACCTCTAGGCCACCAGGTAAAGCTGTGCCTGCATTAACTCCACCAGTGTGGCAGAACACTGAGTGTGACATATAGAAAAGTAGTTATGCAAGACAATTCAGAGGCTCAACACACACGCCACGGAATAAAAGGTACCAAATAAAGGTGGTTTACACAAATGGTAGAAAACGCTGGGCTCCACTTTGAGCATTACTGAACATTAGCGCTGAGCGATTAACCATATATATATTTTTTAAACAACTAAGTGACCAATGTCAGTTCAATTACTTGAATTCCATTTTGTTCGTTTTTTTTCCTTCTTCTGTGAGCTCAATGAGCAGTTTCTGTAGAGATAAATCAGATCCAGCCTGAACTGTGCATGTAGTAGGGAGTTGTCATTTCCAACAGGCCAATATTCTACATAGTGTAGCGAAAAGGGAAAAAAAAAGGTAATCAACTACCATAATCCTACTGCCTACTTGTCCGGTCTGTGTGGAGCATTGAGCTATAATAGAAATGGTGTGGAGCAGGCACAGCGATTGAAAGAGAGAATGCGCGATCGGGAGGGATAGAAAGCAGTTGCTTTGTGAGGTATCTCTACCTGAAAATACATTATCTAAGTGAATGATAGTTGGTATTCAGCAGTACTTTGAAGAACTACTAAAATAGTGATTTTGTCCGAGCATAGGTAGCAGCTCTATAGATATGAGATGACTTGTCATCAAATAAAACAAATATTTTATTAAAAAGTAAAGTAATGTGAATAAATGATGGTTCATAAGTGATAAGCAGTAATGGGAAGTCATTACCATTATTATAATTTTTTTTAAAACTTGTATTAATTGTTTTATTCTGTGTGACAGCATTCAATCCACAATGCATAGTGCATTTAATGTCAAAAATAATAATTGAAACCAAAAACCGTTATTATTTTGTAATAATCGAACTGACACCGACCTCAAAAGCACTAAATCGCTCAGGACTACTGAACATAAACTCAAAAGGGAAGTTCTGTATTTTACAACCTAATATGAATGTTAGAGGCTCCCTCACCCTGAAAGTAGTCTATGGGCCAGAAGAGACTGTAAACCATGGTTCGGTTTTCTTTGAATAACCAATTCTAGACAGTGTATCTACAAGAGCACATGGTGAATATACTGCAGTGATGCCAGGGGAGGTGACTGCATGATGAGGGTAATGTATGTGAATATAAGTTAAGTACTTTATATCAGGTTCCTACTGCACTTTAACAGGCAAAGTTCTTGACTCTTTCACAGAAAGGTCATGGCTGATCTATGGTGTCCCATCCAAATGCCAGGCGTTGGCACTAGCACAATTCAACCAGGTCATCATAGAACTTACCCTTAACCACAGACCTGGGATCGGATTACACTATCCCCCAATCCTAACCTTAACCATTAGGTGAATGAAAAATATTTGACCCCGAATCAGTGGTTAGGGATAACATCTAGACTTACCAACTCTGTCGCCTGCCACCACCCAGCCATTGAGGGATCTTGTGAAAGGTCGACAGCTACCCCCCTTCCCAATCTCCTCCCCCCTCTAAGGGCTGCATTCCAGCCAGGGCTTACAAGACAAGAAAAGTAACACGCTAGACCCGGGACAACCCACTACCCTTCACTCAAATGTCAGCAGGTGAAAATGTCACCTCGGGTGAATGAGAGGAGATGGAGTAGGGGGAGAAGTAGAAGTAGCATCCTGGCCATTGATACAGGCAGGCACAGGCATAGACACTACAGAAAACTCATCCTATAAACCTAAGAATTTACATAATACTCTCAGGGGTGCAACATTCTAAAGAGCTGCTAACAGTTTTAGTATGGATGTACTCAGTGATTCAGTAATTTGTGGCTGTACTCCTCAAACAGATGAGATGCCATTTTCTGTACCCTGGTTTCCAAATGACAATTCCTGCTTTTTAGGTCAGATGTCTGACTGGTGCCTCATTCTTTTGCAGCTTGGCTTTATTTTCTTCTCTGCGTTGCCCTTAGCAGCTCTGCTGACGCCAACAGGACAGTGACAGTTGCAGCTTGGGCCTATGCAGGGTAGGAGCCCTCATTTTATGTAAATAGGAAGGGTCTCTGGGAATGGCTACTGCAGTCATTGACATGGCGATGCACCCACCTTGTTTCCAGAGGCGTCCTTGCCCTTGCCCTCCTCTGCAACGTGGAACCTCAGGTTCTCCAGGAGGATGACTGAACCGATGGCGGGGTTGGCACAGGCCTTCTCTACGTCGGGACCTACGCAGTCTTTCAGGAAGTGCACGTCCCTGAGAATGGGTGCAAAGGAAACACGTGCACGATTGAGTACTTTATTCAGATACTCACTGAAACATTGTCAGTTGAGAGAACCCAAGTGTGTCAATAGAGATCATACCAATGCTTCACTCAGTCAATGGCACAGTAACACACATACAATAGTTATATTTCACTCGCATCATGGTAATAACCAGCTATGCCAGGAGGTCTCACTCACTTGCCCAGCAGGCTCTTGAGCTCAGCGGCCACAGGCTTCAGGGAGAATTTGTCGGGCATGGGGTTCCCATCAGGACGACCCAAGTGGCTCATCAGCACCACAGCCTTGGCCCCATGGTCAAGACAGTGCTTGATGGTGGGGACAGCAGCCTTGATCCTGGAATACACAGGTACACAGTATGAGCAAAGGCTGGAATCGGGCTCCTATAGAATGAATTAGCAGCATTTGGTCTAATCATGTGTATTACTAATAGAAGATGATAAAATGAAAACAAGCTCATTATTACCTCTGGTTGTTCGTTATGTTATGGTCCTTCATTGGCACATTGAAATCAACCCTGCAAAAGACATTGAAAACATTCCGTTTTGGGCACAGTAATAATAAATAGTGTTTTGAGCGTTATAAAAATGTAGTGTTGAAAAGGAAGGGTATATTATTGGAAACTTAAGTTTACCAGTAAACTACCAGAATTTTGGTATCTTTCAAGGATTTTATGTAACCTATCACAAGACATCTAGTGGCCCTTTTGGGTGTCTGTAATTACCTCTGGCCCTCTGTGTGGCCTTATCACATGTAAAATATGAAATACTAAAATAATAATTAAAATGAAAAAATTGAATGACAAAGCTGTAAAACGTTATCCTAAATATAAATCAGCTTAGTGAATACCATTGGTGTTTAATATGAAGGTTTCAGCATGAAATATCCTTTATTTATTTTACTAACATTTATTTTACTATGTCAATATGTATTTGTTGTCAAACTGGTGGCAGTTGTGAAAAAAAAAGTCAATAGTTGGAAGTTGCAGAGTTAATTGAAAATAATGCCATTGTTCATTAAATTAGGCAATTTTCCCTCAAACCATATGGTCTATCTACTAGAAACTCATGGAAAATAGACATATACTGTATAATAAAGGAATACTATATATTAATACACTTTTTAAAAGCTATTCAAGTATAAATTACCAAAGTTATGATAGATTGCCATATATTTTCTGTTAATTAACAGAATTACTGAAGATTCCAGTAACTTTGGTAAATTACCAGTGTCTTGCAACCCTAATAAAATGTGTCCATGACACTGGGGTTAGTATAGAAAGGAAATGATGCAACAGTGACAAACTTTCCTGTATGACACACGCACTGACATGAGAACATGCTGTATCCCTCATTCTCCGGCCGATTACGTAACTCCACCCCCCCCTCTCAGTTTCTCCTCAGGCCCACTTGATGCACTGAGGCGCATGCAGGATCAGGCAGTGGTGCCATAACTGTACTCTATTGTACTAGAACCCTACAGTCAGCATTGGGGAAGAATGATACTGCTATGGAATGCCTTTGTTAGCAATGCCCACTACACAGAAATGCTCCCTTCAATGGGTAAATGGGAACACAATTATTCACAGCCGCACTAGTGATGCCCTTGTAATAGGCTACAATTTGTGTAACCCAAGGCACCTTACACTACAGGGCCGATAAAGGCAGGTGTTTTATAAGAGGGATAAAAGACTGGAGGTGGAGCAAGGAGATGCATATACGCAGAATAAGGCCAACACACTGGCTGCTTGACAGGCTTGGCACTAAGAGTATTCTCTCTACCACAGCGAAGTCTCCATAGCAGCCCCTGAGATCCTGACAGTCAGTTACAGTTTGTCCCATTCTGCACAAGTAAGCCTAGTATTTTTGTTTTATTTCACCTTTATTTAACCAGGTAAGCCAGTTGAGAACAAGTTCTCATTTACAACTGCGACCTGGCCAAGAAAAGCAGTGCGATAAAAACAACAGAGTTACATATGGGATAAATGCCTCGTCACAGAATGCCATATGGGTATGCAATGCCGCGTCATAGAAGTAGGATGTTCATAGACAAATATGCATGTTATGGCAAGCCCAGGATGGAATGTGATGAGATATTTTCATTGTTATAGTATAGTTTGTCTACTCCAGGGTTTCCCAAACTCGGTCCTGGGGCCCCTCCTGGGTCCACGTTTTGGTTTTTGCCCTAGCACTACACAGCTTGATTATGAGTTGGTTATTTGAATCAGCTGTGTAGTAGGAGTGTGGATTTGACCTTTAGTAAGGAAAAGGCCTAATGTATCTCCTGCAGTCATCATGGGTACATGGAGCTGGGGACTCCAGGATGGCCCTATGACATTTAAAAGTGGGTGTCGTTTTTCAGTGTACTGAAGCACCCTTGGGAGCCGCACATGACAACAATATCTGAGCAAATGTCATCAGCGAAAACGGATAGGATGATGTTAAGATATTCAACTAGTTAATTGAATATGAATACAGTAGAGAGTGCATCCTCAGCTTAGAGCTTTGTAGTTTCTTGACTTTGAATCTGATATCTTAATGCAAAATAAAACTTTAAAATTATTGCAATTAACATTTTTGGGATTTTTAGGGATTCTTGCATACATTCTGCATCACTCCTATGGCATGTAAATTGGTTTGAATAGGGAAAACGTGAGACTCGATAGACAACTACCTGTGTTCTGTCACGAGTGGTGGCATGCATCACCTGTTCAAGTACCCAAAATATAGCTATTAAAAAATGTAACCTAGTCATTATTACTGTTCCAGCTAGCTGATACGTGTTATTAGGTAGGTAATGTTAAGTGTAGCACAGAATTTTTCAACCAACCTTTACTTGGCGATACTTCCTCAATTCCCAACTTGGAAGACAACACGTCTTCTAAACTTCCATGTCTAGTTGCAGGGGGTTCGTTTGAATTGTTAAATTAAATACATTTGCTCCAAGAAGTAATCCAACAATGTGTACGCACCTTCGACTTTGGGGTGGACACCAATGATGTATATAAACCCTGGATTGATGATGCTATGCATTGGCCTTCGAGAGGCTTTGACGACACCGGTCGGCCATATTTGCACTCCTCAGTAGGAGCAGTCCTCCATAGGAATGAATGGAATTCCACAGTATTTAAATTAAACATTTTATTATAAAAACAATATATAAAAACAATTGTATTTAAGTGTGTTTCTGTTGTAGAGCGGAAAGTAACATTAGTAATCTCAACAGAAATTATACTTTAAAGAAAATGTTTTTATATATTATTTTATATTTTAAGTTCACATAATATAATTTAAAAGTATGCATTAAAGGTGTCTATAATAGAACAAACTTGGCAAAAAACAAACAAAAAATGTAGACATGAATGCATTTCTATAGCTTCCTAAATATATTTTTCAATGGTGGGGGAGTGCCAAGATGGAGGTACGGTGTCTTCAACATAGCGCCCTCTCAGTCATCTTGTGCAGGGTTTCCCAAAGCTAACGTAGGACTAAGGTTGGTTGAAAATTCTCTGTGCTGTGCTTAACATTACCTACCTTATAACGCCACCTGACGGGCCACCACCAGGTGGTGAGGGTAGGCAACAACACATCCGCCACGCTAACCCTCAACACAGGGGCGCATGCTTAGTCCCCTCCTGTACTCCCTGTTCACCCACAACTGGGTGGCCGTGCACGACTCCAACACCATCATTAAGTTTGCCAACGACACAACAGTGGTAGGCCTGATCACCGACGACGATGAGACAGCCTACAGGAAGGAGGTCAGAGACCTAGCAGTATGGTGCCAGTACAACAATCTCTCCTTCAATGTCAGCAAGAGGAAGGAGCTGATCGTGGACCACAGGAAACGGAGGACTGAGCACACCCCCATTCACGTCGACAGGGCTATAGTGGACCGGGCCGAGAGCTTCAAGTTCCTCAGTGTCCACATCACTAAATACCTATCATGGTCCACACGAAACGGACCTGGGGCTTTCCCAACCGGAACCGATATGCATAAATATATTTTTTTAAATATAGAGACCCGTTCCAAACGGACCCGAGGACAACTAGACCCATTCCGTATAGACCTGGTCAGATCCAGAACCGGTCCGATCAGAGTGAGGGGAGCAGCAGAAAAGTCATTTAAGCTACTTTATTAACCGGAGCTGATAAAGCACGAGAGGAGGGAGAGGGGTGCCGTTCTAGCAGGCGGGGGAGAGGCCGTACTGTGAGTGAATGACATGGGAGCAGGGAGGGGAGACAGCAACCAACCAAGCCGACTCGCACTATAGTAGACTAATAGCTGCCTTAGCTAGATTATTTATCATCAAATATGATTACGTAATACCTGTCTTGGACTGCATTCAACCGGGAGAAACTAGTTAAGCTAGCTAATGTTAGCTAGCTAGGCTAACTGAGGCTGCAGTGCATCCTACAGTTACAAATAACAACAACTTAATTAAGAATATTTAGTAGCCGCCTGCCTAACTGTTGGCTCTTGGTCGTTTTAGCCTATCCTTCTCCTTTTTGTACTGACTCTCTTGCACTGGCTCTATGCACACTCACTGGACTCTACCCACACTGACACTCCAACACAGACACTACATATGCTCACACACACACACACGCATATTGACGCCACACACTTTCACACACTGCTGCTACTCTGTTTATTATCCATTCTGATTGCCTAGTTACTTTTACCCCTGCCTACATGTACATGTTACCTTAATCACCTCGTACCCCCAGCAGATTGACTCTGTACCGATAGTCCTTGTTTATAGCCTTGTTATTGTTATTTTATTGTGTTACCCTTTGCTTTTTTTGTGCAAATTTTCACTCTGCATTGTTGGGAAAGGGCTCCTAAGTAAGCATTTCAGGGTAAAGTCTACACCAGTTGTATTCGGCGCTTGTGACAAATAAAATGTGATTTGATGTGAAGCAAGCCATAATAACAATTAGCCACAATAGTGAAATTTGCGGTTCACCTTCAAAATAAAAGGTCCCTCATTGAAAGTGATAGAAACGGATACAAATAATGGAATCATGCCATATTTGGACTAGATAACGCTAAACAGGGTTGGAATGTTGTTACATAATTTAAAGTCAAACACAATAATTAGTTTGACAAACAGAAAACTAAATTCCACTGGATTTATTAGACTGCATAATTGCATTGGGGCATACTTCTATGCACTATATAGCCTTACCTATGATTTTCCACAGTCAAAGTCCTGCAATAAGAGCTAAGAAGCTAATATTTGTGTAAACTCTTGAGAATTGTGTTCTGTGGGTGTCACCGAGTAGGCTGATACCCCGTTTCTTGGGTGCACAATCCATAGGTAAGGCTGCACAGTGCATATAAGTATGCCCCCAATTCAATTATGCAGTCTAATACATCCAGTGGGATTTCAGTTTATTGTCAAACTAATAGTTTTTTTGGTTTTTACAAAATTATGTAACATTCCAACATTGTTTAGCATTAGCAAGTCCAAATATGTAATGATTTCACTATTTGTATCCGTTTGCATCACTTTCAATGAATAACTTTTATTTTGAAGGCGAACCACGAATTCCACACATGGAGGATTACAGCCGCCAGTGACCATAGCAACAGAGTAAAAAATAATAATCAACATGTGAAAAATGAACTATAACCAAAGACAGTACATTAGGAAGAGAGGCTAAAACTGCTTCTCCAATAGAAATCTCAGATCACACATGTAGGCGATGTCATGGCGTTGTTGGCTAGCTAAGCGCATGCGCAAAAACACGTCATCGGGTCTAACGGTCGTCTCGCGCCGAACTGCGAATGTGCAGGCCATCAAATCAAAGGCACTCCTTCGATATTAAGTTGTTTTGGACGAAAATGTGCCAGTTTGTCACTTTCACAAGGTTGGAGTAATAACATGTCCAACTACTTAAGACATTGGCTCGAATCTAGGTTGTGCCTTTAGATTTCGAGGAATAATTTTTCACTTCTCTCATTGACTTCTCAAACCCCAGCCTGGTCTGTTTCGCAAGTGTTTCCGGAAGTCTTGCAATGTTGCGCCTCTGGGTTTAGAAACTGTGCGATAACACCATAAGCATGCATAAAAAGTATTTACAGTCAATAGAAATCATTAACCCAAAAATAGATTAAAAACAATAATTTGCATTGTTAGACATGACTCTGTAAATCTATAATGTTAGTCAGCTAACTAACTAGCTAGAGTGGCAAGCCATCTGATCTGTCACATGTAATTCGTTTATAAATTATAAATAAACAAAAAAAACTTGAAATCCCACCGTGGATGTATTTGACTGCATAATTGAATTGGGGGTATACTTACATGCACTGTACAGCCTTATATGGATTGTGCACCCATGAAATAACCAGGTGGCGAATCGCATCTCTGCATGTCTGGCAGACATATCAGTATGGATGACGGATCACCACCTCAAGCTGAACCTTGGCAAGACGGAGCTGCTCTTCCTCCCGGGGAAGGACTGCCCGTTCCATGATCTCGCCATCACGGTTGACAACTCTGTCGTGTCCTCCTCCCAGAGTGCGAAGAGCCTTGGCGTGACCCTGGACAACACCCTGTCGTTCTCCGCTAACATCAAGGCGGTGACCCGATCCTGCAGGTTCATGCTCTACAACATTCGGAGAGTACGACCCTGCCTTACACAGGAAGCGGCACAGGTCCTAATCCAGGCACTTGTCATCTCCCGTCTGGATTACTGCAACTCGCTGTTGGCTGGGCTCCCTGCCTGTGCCATTAAACCCCTACAACTCATCCAGAATGCCGCAGCCCGTCTGGTGTTCAACCTTCCCAAGTTCTCTCACGTCACCCCCCTCCTCCGCACACTCCACTGGCTTCCAGTTGAAGCTCGCATCTGTTACAAGACCATGGTGCTTGCCTATGGAGCCGTGAGGGGAACGGCACCTCCGTACCTTCAGGCTCTGATCAGTCCCTACACCCAAACGAGGGCACTGCGTTCATCCACCTCTGGCCTGCTGGCTCCCCTTCCTCTGCGGAAGCATAGTTCCCGCTCAGCCCAGTCAAAACTGTTCGCTGCTCTGGCACCCCAATGGTGGAACAAGCTCCCTCACGACGCCAGGACAGCGGAGTCACTCACCACCTTCCGGAGACATTTGAAACCCCACCTCTTTAAGGAATACCTGGGATAGGATAAAGTAATCCTTCTACCCCCCCCTCCCTATAGGGTGAATGCACCAATTTGTAAGTCACTCTGGATAAGAGCGTCTGCTAAATGACGTAAATGTAATGTAAATGAAATGAGGTATCAGCATATTCAGAGACACCCACAGAAAAACAAACCTCAAGAGTTCACACAAATGTTGTCTTAGCTCTTATTGAAGGACTTTGACTGTGGGAAATCACCTTCCTGGTCAGCCTATTGTGCGTATTGAATATTCGAATTGCACTGTACAGCCTTAACTATGGACTGTGCACCCCATGAAATAGGGTAACAGCCTACTCAGTGACACCCACAGAACACAATTTTCCAGAGTTTACACAAATATTACCCCGGAAATAGAAAACAATTATTTGTATTGTTAGACGTGACTCTGTAAACCTATAATGTTAGCCAGCTAACTACACTGAACAAAAATATAAAACGCAACATGTAAAGTGTTGGTCCCATCTTTCATGAACTAAAATAAAAGATCCCAGACATGTTCCATACTCACAAAAAGCTTCTCTCCAATTTTGTGCACAAATTTGTTTACATCCCTGTTAGTGAGCATTTCTCCTTTGCCCAGATAATCCAGCCACCTGACAGGTGTGGCATATCAAGAAGCTGATTAAACAGAATGATCATTACACAGGTGCACTTTGTGCTGGGGACAATAAAAGGCCACTAAAATGTGCAGTTGTCATAACACAATGCCACAGATGTCTCAAGTTGAGGGAGTGTGCAATTGCCGTGCTGACTGCAGGAATGTCCACCCCACCAGATAATTTAATGTTAATTTCTCTACCATAAACCACCTCCAATGTCATTTTACAGAATTTGGCAGTACGCCTAACCAGCATCACAACTGCGGACCACGTGTATGGCGTGGTGTGGGCGAGCGGTTTGCTGACGTCAATGTTGTGAACAGATTGCCCCATGGTGGCGGTGTGGTTATGGTATGGGCAGGCATAAGCTATGGACAACAAACACAATTGTATTTTATCGATGGAAATTTGAATGCATAGAGGTACCGTGACAAGATCCTGAGGTCCATTGTCGTGCCATTCATCTGCCGCCATCACCTCATGTTTCGGCATGATAATGCACGGCCCCATGTTGAAAGGATCTGTACACAATTCCTGGAAGCTGAAAATGTCCCAGTTTTTCCATGGCATGTTTGGGATGCTCTGGAACGACGTGTAAGACAGCGTGTTTCAGTTCCCGCCAATATCCAGCAACTTTGCACAGCCATTGAAGAGGAGTGGGACAACCTTCCACAGGCCATAATCAACAGCCTACCCTTTTTTAAAAGGTATCTGTGACCAACAGATGCATATCTGTATTCCCAGTCTAGTGAAATCCACAGATTAGGGCCTAATGAATTTATTTCAATTGACTGATTACTCAGTAAAATCTTTGAAATTGTTGCGTTTATATTTTTGTTCATTATAGCTAGCTAGTGGCAAGCTAGCTGATCTGTCACATGTAGCCTACATGCAGACTGCAAATGTATCACCGGTTTTCACAGCCACAAAGTCAAAATTGGCTATATCGTAAGAATTCATGAAAACAAAAATTAGCTTTTTGTTGTTCATTTAAAGGTTAGGGTTAGGCAGAAAGTTAAGTGTGGTTAAGGTTAGGTTTAAAATCATATTTTCAGAAAATAAATTGTAGAAATAAGCGGTATTTCTGACTTTGTGGCTGTGGTAACTAGTGAGGACCCGTATCACCACGAAAGAACACTAATAACGGTCTGACTAGGCGATATTTTTAATAGCTACCCAAATTGATACTTTGTAACTGCAATGAAGTTCAATGTAGCTCTTCGATAACGTATCGTGAATGTTTCCAACGCTACAAAGTATCAAGCGTCTCTCTGTTACAAATCACAGTGCCAAAGATGGTTGCTAGCGATGTCTAATGCCGCGTTCAAAACAACTGGGAACTTGGAAATCTCTGACTTCAGTGCGTTAACCTACTAGAACATCGGAAAAAAATGACCTCCGACTAGGGAAATCGTTTTGAACGGTCATCCAACTCGGAATTCCATGTCGGAACCTCGGGCATCTTTCTAGAACTCCGACTTTCCGATCTGAAGATCACTGATTTGACCTCGTTTTTTTCCAAGTTCCAAGTTGTCTTGAAGGCACCAATAATACCCTTTCCGATGGCTCAATTTGAAGCTTCATAAATGGAACTCACCTCATGATCACGCGCTTCCCCTTCACGTCCACCTTGTCCAGGGTGAGTTTATTTGACAGCGACATTTTGGATAGTTTACTTGCACCTGCTTTTCTGTCTTTACCTCGCTCTGCTGATGGGTAGTTCCCGAATGAAATGACTATCGCGCAGCGAGGAAGCACTTCGGGTGGGCGGGACGTTACACGCCCATCGACGGTGTATTGGTCAAAAGCTAGTACGGAACTGCTGCATCAGCACTGCCATTGGGTTATGCCAGTGCCAGTCATATGAGCCATGCCCTCCATTGAAAACTCAATTTAACGGGAAACGGCGTGTGACGCAAGTCACGTAACGTTTTGCTCGAAGACTATTGTTATTATTTAAAAATAAAATACAATACAAATAATTGTAAAGCAATTCAAAATATACAATATAGAAAAACAAAGAGTATACAACGGAGTATACAAACATTGCAAACAGCCAGGGGAATAATAATAATTAGTCATTTAGCAGACGCTCTTATCCAGAGCGACTTACAGGAGCAATTAAGGTTAAGCGCCTTGCTCAAGGGCACATCGACAGATTTTTCACCTAGTCAGCTCGGGGATTAGAACCAGCGACCTTTCGGTTACTGGCACAACGCTCTTAACCACTAAGCTACCTGCCGCCCCAGTCGTCCTGAATACAAAACAATACATTATATAAAGACCTTGTAAAAATTACAATCATTTAAAGTTATTGCTTTTTTGTTATGAGAAGACATTGTGTTTATATATTGTTGAATTTCATTCTCAAAAATAATAAACAGAGGTTTTCGACTAAAATGTAATTTATGAATATGGAATTTAGCTAAAACAATGAAGTTTATTAAGAAGAAAGGCTTTGCATAGTCTTTGCTATATTTTGTAAAAACAAATATCACATTTTCAAGTAGAAGGGCAAAACTAGCATGTATATGATCTAAAACTAATCAACAGATATCTTGCCACAGCTTCCGGGTATAATTGCAATACCAAAATAAATGTAAAACAGTCCTCCGGTTGTTCATTACAGAAGGTACAAGAAACATCAATATCTTTTAAAAACGTTTAAAGATTATGTTTAGTAGGGTAGCACTTGTGGATGAATTTATATGAAACTTCTTTAATCTTATTAGTTCAAAGACATTTTTTTGCGATTGCAAAGACTTGGCTCTACTCTTTCGATTGACAGTGCATACATTTGTTCAAGATGGCTATCTCAAAACAGCACCTGGGAACATCTGCTGAAGGAAACTATCTACTAGGTAAGTGCTAACTTTCTAAGTCACAAGTAATCACAAGCTTTTCTCTACCAAGGTTAGATCAACAACAGGATCTGGGAGTAACCATGGAGGAACGTGCCCTATCACCACAGAAGGGCCAACCTCCGACTCCCTCAAACCACTCTCATCAGCAAGCTTTCCAACCAAAACCACTGGCTTGTCTGCTAGTATATTCCCAACAGTCATCTAGAAAAGTAGCAGTGGGATGCTCAACCTGACAGTTTTTCAACCTAACCCAATAAGCTAATGACAACTTTTTACGCCGTATATCCAAAGGCATCTCACCTGCCTCTACTAGTAAGGCACATACAGACATTGATTTAAATGCACCAATACATATCCTTAAAGCTATATACTGGATTATGTCCAGCTTCTGAAGCCAAGTCTTCGCCACTGTTCCATAAACTATACACCCGTAATCAATAACTTTAAATGATCAGAGCTCTATAAATATCCATCAACGATTGTCTGTCAGCACCCCATTCATAACTGATACAGTGGGGGAAAAAAGTATTTAGTCAGCCACCAATTGTGCAAGTTCTCCCACTTAAAAAGATGAGAGAGGCCTGTAATTTTCATCATAGGTACACGTCAACTATGACAGACAAAATGAGAATTTTTTCTCTCTAGAAAATCACATTGTAGGATTTTTAATGAATTTATTTGCAAATTATGGTGGAAAATAAGTATTTGGTCAATAACAAAAGTTTCTCAATACTTTGTTATATACCCTTTGTGTCAAGGGGTGCTGAAGGTGGGTGTGGTGCATGAATCAAGCACAGGACGCAGAAGCTCAGTCCAAAAGACTTTAGTGCAATATTCACGTAGAAAATAAGCACAATAAGCCCGAAGGCGAAATAATGGCGCACACAGGCGTCAAACAAACGGCGCACTAACATGTGCGAAAAACCTCTCCAAAATACTGGAGGGAAGTACGTAGCTCCAACACGAAACAGAAGAGCAATCACACACAAAGACAAACACACACAACGAGAACTAAATAGGACACTAACGAGGACTAACAAGACACAGGTGTACAACATCAAGACAAAACCAAACGAACATGAAACATAGATCGGTGGCAGCTAGTACTCCGGGGACGACGACCGCCGAAGCCTGCCCGAACCAGGAGGAGGAGCAGCCTCGGCCGAAACCGTGACAGTACCCCCCCCTTGACGCGCGGCTCCAGCCGTGCGCCGACCCCGGCCTCGGGGACGACCAGGAGGACGCGGAGCAGGGCGCGCGGGATGGTCCCGGTGGAACTCCGACAGGAGAGATGGGTCTAGGATGTCCCTCCGCGGCACCCAGCACCGCTCCTCCGGGCCGTACCCCTCCCACTCTACGAGATACTGGAGACCCCCCATCCGGCATCTTGAGTCCAAGATGGACCGAACGGTGTACGCTGGAGCCCCCTCGATGTCCAGTGGGGGCGGAGGAGTCTCCCCTATCTCATTTTCCTGGAGTGGACCAGCTACCACCGGCCTGAGAAGAGACACATGGAACGAGGGGTTAATATTCTTATACTCAACAGGTAGATGTAACCTATAACACACCTCGTTCAATCTTCTCAGGACTTTAAAGGGCCCCACAAACCGCCGACCCAGCTTCCGGCAGGGCAAGCGGAGGGGTAGGTTTCTGGTAGAGAGCCAGACTCGATCTCCGGGTGCGTACACCGGCCCCTCACTGCGGTGGAGATCGGCGCTCGCCTTGTGACGAAGTACGGCCCGCTGCAGGTGGACGTGGGCAGCGTTCCACGTCTCTTCCGAGCGCCTCATCCAATCATCCACCGCAGGGGCCTCGATCTGGCTCTGCTGCCAAGGTGCCAGAACCGGCTGGTAACCCAACACACATTGGAAGGGGGTTAGGTTGGTAGAGGAGTGGCGGAGAGAGTTCTGGGCCATCTCGGCCCAGGGAATGTACCGTGCCCACTCCTCCGGCCGGCCCTGGCAATACGACCTCAGAAACCTACTCACATCCTGGTTGACACGTTCTACCTGCCCGTTACTCTCCGGGTGGTACCCTGAGGTAAGGCTAACCGAGACCCCCAAACGCTCCATGAACGCTCTCCAAACACGGGAGGTAAACTGGGGGCCTCGATCAGACACTATATCCTCGGGTACCCCGTAATGCCGGAAGACGTGGGTAAATAGGGCCTCAGCGGTCTGTAGGGCAGTAGGAAGACCCGACATAGGGAGAAGACGACAGGCCTTAGAGAACCGGTCCACAACGACCAGGATGGTGGTATTCCCCTGAGAGAGGGGAAGGTCTGTCACAAAATCCACCGAGAGGTGGGACCATGGTCGTTGTGGAACGGGCAGGGGTTGTCTTAGGCAATTACGGGCCCCAGCGTAAAAGAGGG